ATAATTGCCATTAAGATAATAGCAAGCATGATTAGGCGACCGTCAAAAAGGGGATTTTCTTCTTTGGGGGGGGGGGGGGTTTCGTGGTCCTCGGTATCCTCCGTATTCTCACTGCTTGCTTCTTCTTCGTCGAGAGGTCTGGTGTCGGGCTCAGGGTCCTTTCTATCTTCCTCACCAGAATAATAATCTTCTTTGCTGCCGCTGTCTTCCTCGTCTCGTTGGGTTTCAATCTCTTCCTCGCTTTTCCAAGGATCTAGGGTTTCCTCATCAGGTCTTCCAATTCAGCCGAAATCATCAACAGCAATAGGCGTCATCACCAAACCTTCTTTTGTTTTACTGCTCCTAATTGCTAGTAATCTCGTTTCTCACTCATCCAAAATTTCCGGAATTGTTCTTCCTTTTATTAATTTTTCCGAAGAAAGACGTTCATGAATTCGTCTTTTACTTTCATCTCCAAGTGTTCCGCGCTCAAATGCTCTAGCTTTACTAAGAAACTCATTAAGTTCTCTTTCCTCCGTGGGATTTTTTCTTAATAACTCTACTAAATAATTTTTCTCTCGACACAATTTATTTTCAGAACTACTAATAATTTTACTAATATCATTACTCTCAATACTTCCATAAAAAGCCGTTAACACTAAACAATTTCATGGTTTATTTCTTGTTGTAATTCCTAAACTTATTCTCTCAGTAGAGGGATCAATATCTCACGCTCAAACGTTATCCTCGGAAAATAAATTTCATACTTGTTCATAATTATAAAACTTTTCACCAGAAAGGGGGTGGAATAAATCAAGAGTGATTTCTTGATAAAAATAGTCAATTTTTTCCCTGGTGGAATCCAGAGCAAATTCTCCCCGAATTCCGTGGCTTGGTCCAATAAGAATAAAGTAGGAAATTTCTTCTCCACTCTTTACTTGCACTGGCTCGCATAGTTTCATTTTCAAAACACTAAGAGAACCCGTTCCGAGGGATTTAATTTCAAAATCGTCTAAAATAAATTTAATTTCTGACATTTTAACAATAACTTAATTTAACTTAATTTAATTACGAGATTTTAATGAATGCCAGCATTGTGAAAAGTAAAAAATACAGCAAAAATATTTTTGTTGCTTAAAAATCCTGTTTTTTTAAATCACTTAATGCATTTTCAACTAATAATACTTTTTCGTGATGTTGTTTTTCTATAAAGTAATAATAAGGGGCAATAGCGGTTATTTTATCATTATTTCTTATTACATTACGGAGAATGTTGGGATTATCGTCTATCACTACATCACACTCGGGAACATTTTGGCTGATTCATTCTCCTTTGGTTTGTCCTTGGCCCTCACTATCAAATCCTACTAAGTTTAAAGAACAGTTGGGATATTTACCAAAAGTCTCGCTAAATATTTGTTTTTTGCGAGGGTCGCCATTCGCAAAAACTCTTTTATCAAAAGCTGAAAGAAAAGTAACTTCTACTTTGTTTTGTTTTACTAAACTCAATAATTCTTTGGCGATAGTTAAGAAGGGTGCTCGTTGGTAAAAACCGGGTTCGTTTTTTATTTGCTCGATTTTACTTTTTATGCTTCTTTGCCCCGTAACAAAACTATTACCTTTCCTCAAACAACTTGTTACCATATCTTTATTAGTATAAGCAGAATGACTACCGTATTCAGAATAATAAATAGGAGGATTTAATCAAAAATTTTTGAACCATGCTTCGAATTTAGTTCCATTAGGCATTCATCAAGGAGCCTCGTAGTAGGCCCCCTCTCGTTCGGATAATTCATAATAGACTTTGGGCTCTAAGCACTGAATAACTTCGTCCCAATCACAAACAATTTTTAATTTTTGGGAAATATTTTTAAAATGCTCAGAAAGACAGTTAATTACTTTTCGTCTTTGGGTTTCTCCTAAATATTTTTCCTCTTGTTCCATTTCCTTATTTTGTTATTTTACAATGCACCAGATTATTGTCATTCTTTAACAATGTTGCCTCTCCGTAATTAAATTTGAAAGTAGTCGTCGATTTCCTTTTGGACTTCTTTAATTAACCCTTTTTTTTCATCTTTTAGTTCAAATGCTCTTTTTACTAATTCTGTAATTTCACCAATGGAATTTTTGTCAAGTATCGGAATTTCAATTTCTTTTAATTTATCTTCTCTTAAACATGGTAAAGTTGAAGCAATAACCGTTCTTCTAATTGAAGAGTAAAAACCTATTTCTTTTAAAGATAGAACTAAAAAAAGATATTCAGGCGTAAAATTATGCTTTTTTGCTTCAATTTTAAGTCTTAATTTAACAATGTGTGAACTTATTATAATCTTATCATTTTTGGTTATCATTGCACTCCTCATCCCATTATTCCCATCTTTAATAAAAAGTACATCGTTAGTTTTTATATCTTGATTTAATTCATCATAAATTTTTTCAGAAACATAAAAATCCGGAAATTGGTCCGCTTCATAATTTACCAAGTCAGAAGTTCTAATAAAAGGAATATTGTTCTCCTCTTTTTCTAAATATAAATTATAACTTTCGCTCCCGACCTCGTCTCCTTTTTTTACAGTAGCGATTTCGTCAAGTAGGACAGTTTTTCATTTTTCTTGAATGGCTTTTAAAGTGTTTACATAAAGAGGATACAGGTATTTTGGAGACCAGAGGTCGGCTTTTAAGAAATCGGCAGCATTTACCGAGTAAGATTTTTCCTCTGCTATTTTTGAAAAATCAATGCCTATTTTTCGGTAAAAAAAATTTTTGGCTTGTTCTAATAACAATGAGGCCTCCATTTCATTTTTTTCGGCTTTTTGTATTTTCAGACTAATTATTTGTATAGTTTTCTCATCTATTTTAGGAATTTTATATTGCTTAAAATTTTTTATGTTGAGATATCGGTCATTTGTTAAGAGTGCTTTCATCTCTATTTGACCAAATTGCGAATTTAAAAAAGCAACTAAAAAATGAGGATTAAATTTTGTCAAACTTTTATCTTTTAACCTTATTCGTATTACATTTTGATTTGTGCTACTTTCTTTTAGAGTATGCGGAACTAAACAAGCAAATCCTATAGTACCTGCACTGGATAGTAAAATATCGTTAGGTATAACCTTAAATTCAATCCTAGATTTATGAGTTTCACTTGATACAAAATTAATTGTAGAAAAATTTAAACCATATCTTTTAACATTAGCAGATTCAATAAAATAACAATCTTCTTCATTTCTTTTATTTTCATAATGTTTAGGTGTTGAACCGCTTTTTAGGGTTGCAAAATCGTTAATTTCCTCATATCCAAATTTATCAAATGTTTTTTTTAATAGACTTTGATTATAGTAAAATCTTGGTTCAAATCTACCAATTTTTTTTATTTCAGAAGCACAAGCGGTTATTATTTTATTTGTCATATTTATTTAATTAAAAGTAAAGTTATTTTTTTTCGCTCATTTTTTAAACTCATTAGAAATTCTAGAAATATCATCATCTTCTTTTTGGTTTCCTCTTCTATCATGACCAACAAGTTTTGGCAATGCCCATGAAGACTGGATAATCTTTTGGAATCTTGTTTGTTTTTCGTAAAATTAAGATACTGGTTTTTGTTGATGTATTAGGCTGAAAGGTTTCCTTTGGTAAGTCAATAACAGCAACAATTCTAGCCTTTTTCATTATTAATTTTCTAACATATCCCAGTTGGTTATTCCCTAAAATTCCATCCGGTAAAACTATTGCCATTCTACCTCCGCCTTTAAGAAATTGCAAACATCTTTCAATAAATAAAATTTGGGGAGCTTCTTGGTCTTTCAAGCCCCCTTTTTCTCAATTCATTAATTCTTTATCTTGCTTTCATTTATGTCCGAGTTCAAATTGTTTTAATTTTTCTTCACCCCGAACCGGAATTTTTGACCCAAAAGGAGGATTGGTTAAAAGAACATTAAATTTGCCTAGGCTAACCTTTTGTTTAGTCTTCTCGTTTCAATTTTGTGGATTTTCCAGGCTATCTTCGCAAAATATTCCACTCATGCCGTCGCCAATTAAGTTCATGTAGGCTTTGGCGACCTTGGAAAGAAAATAGTCTTTATCTATTCCCACTATTTTCTCTGAGGCAACTTTATTTTTCTCACTTTCTATCAAAGGATTACCCCAATCAAGCTTCCTACCTTTTTGGTCTATTTTTTGTCAAACGTGTTTTAATAAAGCCTCAATCAAAAATCCTCCGCTTCCGCAGGCTGGGTCAATTATTAAATCTTTGTCGCTTGGGTCTAGAATATCAACCATCATTTTCACCACGTTTCTAGGAGTAAAAAATTGTCCTTGTTCTCCCTTTAAAGTGTGTCCAATAAAAATTTCAAAAGCATCGGCAACAACATCTCTCTCTGTTTTCATTAAACAATATTTTTGTAATTCACCTACCACATGAAATATAGAATTTGCATCCAAAGTAATAACATCATTCTTAGTAAAAACATCTTTTTTATATTCCCTTTTAACTTTTTCAAAAAGTCCTAAAATTCGGTTTTTAACATCTTTTGGACTCTCACCAAAACCAGCTCTAAAAGTAACAATATTCTCTGATTCAGTAAATTTTTCATCATAAAGTTTACAAAAGATTAAATTTATTAATTGTTGTGCTAAAACTTCGTCTCTTGTTGCTCCTACATTGTTACCGGCTAAATAGTTTCTAATTGACTTAAAAATTGTTTTCAGATTATGGGTAGGTTCAAGGTCTTTTCTTCTAAATTTCCCAATATCTTCAATTCTTTGCTTAAATCGTGGAATATCTGGAATTTCTTCAAATTCATTTCCAACTTTCCTTAAAACCATTCTTTCTTCTCCGTTAAATCACACTCCTAAAACTGCTTTTGAAAACGTTAAATAATCTTGAAGTTGGGTTTTTCCATCTTTTCTACTTTTATTTTTGCATTCAACTATAATGTAAATGTCGCTTTCTTGCTTCTTGTTGTTAGAAAACACTGCGATGTCAATAGGATATTCTTTTCTTGTATCGGAAGGAATTCTTTTTACTCTAAATTGTGGTCTTGTTTGTATGTGATCTTTTGGATAGTTATAATCTTCAACCAACTGTTTAGAAAATACTTGAACTGCTTCAATTTCTTCCGGTGTAGCTTTTATTTTCAACCCTGAAATGTAATCATTTATATAGCCTTCTTTTAAAGCTTCCGTCTTGAATAGCATAAATATTTTATTTTAATTGCTCGCATTTTCTTTTATGATAGATATAACTTCTTCTGCCAAGGTTTCTTCTTCTTGGGCAGCATTAACAACTCTTATTGCTCGTTCCGGAAATATCTGTTTTAGTTGTAAATATTGGTTCCGAATGCGAGCATGAAAATGTAAATCTAATTGGTCTCAATTAGCGTATTTACCATTTTCCATTTTTCTTTTTCAGAGCCTTTTTTGGGCTGCTTGGGGGTCAAGGTCTAAAATGAAAGTCAAGTCAGGTCAGGGTATAGCCCGTTGCGAAGCCATGCCAAGAACCTCGTTAAAATCAGCCGCGTTAGCGGCCCCCTGGTAAACCAGAGTGCTATCAAGATAACGGTCAATAATAATTATCTTGTTTTGTTGTAAGTTAGGTTTTATTATTTCCTCGTTCAAACTAGCGAAAGCTGTCAAGAAGGCAGATATACGTTTTTGATTACTCAGGGAATTTCCTTGTTCAATAATTTCTTGCCAAACTTTTTGTCCGGTTTGAGTATCACGTCAGTTGCAAGTTATCAGGTCAAGTTCCGCTTTTTTTGCCAAATTTTTTAGGAGAGTAGTTTTGCCGCTTCCGTCAATTCCTTCAATAGTAATTAGTAGTGACATTATAAATTAATTTAGTATCTCTTCTTTACCCTTCAATAAAATTGCCTCTTTTGCAACTTTGAAAAATAGTTGATTTCTCTGCTTAATTAATTAGAATTTCATTGTGAGAAAGGCTTTTCTAACTTTCTCCTTCCTCTTCTTTTTCTTCTTTCGCAATAGAGGGATAAAATAACCAATAAAACATAAAGGCAAGAAAGATAATAGTCGAATATGTTATTGCTCCTCCTCCATATCGACGACCAGTATATTTTTTATCACCAAGAAGAAATTTTCCCAAATTGTCGCCAGCAGTTCTTATAAGTTTGATTATTAACCCCACTAACAAAGAAAAGAAAAAAGAAAAAATTAGCCAGATAAAAAAATCAGGTCTTTCAATTTTTCCTTTTGCTGCATTCATTTTTGTTTAGATTAATAAAGAAATAATTTTTCCTGTGCTGTAGTTTTTGCGTAATTAAGAAAATAAAGAGAGTTTCGTTCTTCTTCTTTTTGGTTTAATTCAGCAATAAGTTGCTTATATTCTTCTATTCTCTTTTTATCTTCAGCAATTTGGATTTTTCTTTCTGATTGCTTAATAAGAGCGAAAATTTTTTGCTCCAATCTTTCTCTTATTTCACCTTTTTTTTCTATTAATTGACTACTACTTCCCAAAATTTCCTCATGAGTTTGGAGAAAGAGAACTAATTTGTTGAGAAAAGAAAGAGCAACAGAAGGGTCTGAATCTTCTCAATCATCATGCCCTCCTTCACCGCTGCCTCCTCCTTCGGCTTTTCTCAACCGTCGAAGGCAAGAATTAACCACTTCATTAGCCTCGCAATGTTTTTCTAGGTTACTTTCTGTGTGTATATAAAGGCCAATATTTTCTTCATTCATTTGTCAAATGAATTTTCTTTCGGCTCTTATTAGTTCTTTTGATTCTAAAACATACTTTAAGTTTTGCTCGTGAATTTTCAGGGTAGCAATAACTACCTCTACTTTGTGTTCATAATGTTCTCGTGGTCATGCGTCTATTATCTCAATACCCTTTCCAATCCACTTTTTTAACTTGGGATAAGGGTCAGTTTTAGTTTTGCACAAAACCAAATAATGAATAAAAATGTCTGCTGCGACACAACTTTTTAAGTTGTATTTCATTTCCATTTTTTTGATAGATATTTGCGTTAAAAAAATTCTTGCTGGCTTATCTAACAATTTTTCAATTCCTTTGTCTATTATCTTGCCTACCGTAAAATCAATTCCTAATTCGATTCCTTGTGTTAATAACGCTTTTATTTTCTCGTCACTTCGGTATACCTTGCCACACCTACTACAAACATTTCCTCCTATTGAAACAGATTGGTAACTTTCAACCAACTGTATCAAACGTAAATTATCTTCCCGCTCGCCAAGATTTTCGTCAGTTTTATTTAACACGTAATATCTGTTTTGTTTAAATAACTCGCCGGCCGTTCCTCCCATTCATCCACCCGGATCCACTGTGCCTTGTGTTACTAAACCAAGAATTCCAACGCCTCACCTAACTATATTTCATGTTCATGTCATAACTTATTATCTAATTTAATATTATTATAATATTATGTTGTTATATGCTTGTTGTCCTTATAATAATTACCCCGCAATAGGAGCCAAAATTTCGGGCGAACTGATTTTGGCTAACTCCTTTATCAAGTCGTCGGGTTTTATTTCTTCCCAACAATCTTGCTCGGTGAGAAGAGATTTTCTTTTAGGGATCAATAATAATTCAGTGCCTTCATAATCCAAAAATTCGGGACAGGTTAAAGGAATAAAACGATGATTAGTAAATTTTTCTTGAAGTTCCGATGGATACTTAACTTTTTGTTTTTCTACTAATCCTGTCCCTGGTGGAGAACTTTGTTCCGGATTTTTAACACTAATTAAATAATCACCTTCTTTTTGTAAATTAAATTCTTCCTGGGTTTTTTTGAGGAAAGACGGCCGGGTTAACTGATAAAGAAAATGAGCGTGATTATTATGAGCCACCAAGAGATATTTTCCTTCGCCCAGACAACGAGCCGGAGGTAAAGACCGCTCACCACGAGTTTTGGTATGATAATGTTTTTCAGCAAGAGACACCAGTAAATCTTCCTTGCGTAATTTTCTAGCCTCGACAAACGAAAAATAACTTCCTTCTTCGGCGGTCGGTAATTGTTTTTTCCCCACCACTAATAACTTATATTGCTTTTGCTTAGCAGAGTGGAGAACAAAAAAGAAACGTTGAACTTCCCCGCCCGTAGTCATTACTTTCGGACGATAAAAAAAGTGAACTACCCACCACCTATAGAGGTGGGGGCTTCTAACAACTCAGAAATTATTTCTCAATTCTACACAGCGCC